TTTGTTACGTCTCCGTTTGTTAATTAACTTTCCGTAACATCGTTCCGACGAAACTTTAGCGACACAAGTCCTTACTTAATAAAACTGGTTTATTCTTTCTGAATATAATTTCACGATACACTTGATTTCAACATTCGCGCTAAAATAAACGCTATAACGAACGTTAACTTCAACAATACTTTCTCACTGCATATCAATTACTCACTACCTACACACATTGTTGTCACGTTGTGAGCGTCCTATTTATATACCAGAAAAACATATATCTAGTAAATGCTAGGGCATTCACGAAGGAACAAGATACTTCCAGAAAATAGGCGGCGTGACAATATTCACGTGACCCCGCTGACGCAACAGCACCATGGAAGGCATAAAATGACCAGCATTAACGACATTAATTAACCTTCCAGTTGAGAGCTGTAAAAATTATTAGGCATTGGTAGCTGTCTTAACCAACAGGTTTGGAGTGACACACCAGAAGGAAGTATCCAGAATAGAGTTCTAGAACAGGGTACAGATGAAAGAAAAGACTTTAGTTGAATCTGTGAAAGATATGGAAAGGCTTTCACACTTATCTTACTCTGATACTCCTCGTTAACTAATGAATTTGTGATACATGACTATTTATAAATGCCATAGCAGATGAGAATTTGGTTGAAACAAAGTATGTGTACTTCTTTAAAGAAATATCCCCAATTGTCAGTGGAACTTGAATCCATCAAAGTTGCAAATATACTACTGAAGACACCATCTATAAGTTATGAGCTCATCAGATCCTGTAGTGTTAAAATTTCAATTCCCCCTAATGATATTGTAGGAGAACTGAAAGAATTAATCAAGATAGTTACACAGAATGGAAGAGACAGACCACACGAATATATGTGTTTTAAGTATAATTTGAGAGGACTATTGTGAGAGAATGTAGATTAAAGATGTATGAAGAGGATACTAGGAAGAGAAAACAATAACAATTATGGGAAACGTGGCTATTACAGCTGTGACTGTAAAGAAGCAGCATCTGTTATTAAGCAAAAGGAGACATGTCTCAGAGTCAAAACAGATCAAAGGAACAAAAAAGAGCTAATCAGATATCAAAAAGATATGAATTAGATAGATTTATGGGACAAATGAGATAAGAAGTTTATTATTTGAGAAAAAACACCCACAATTCTATGGGTTTATCAATGGAAACTTCTAGCAAAAGGAAAATTGGAGGCTACCCTTACTGTAGGAAGCTTCCTTATACCTCAAGGAACAGTGCATATTGGGAACTGACTAGGCTAACTTCAAATAGCTTGACAAAAGAAAGTTCTTGGTCACATTTTAAGTAGAGAGATGAAGTCTCTACAAACGCTGCTAAGACAGCAACAGTAACGGTCCGGTCTCAACCTTTGATCAAGTGAGAGAAGTCTGCAATTTCCTTAATATTGCATCATATTACCAAGTGTTTGTGACCAACTTCACCAAGATAGTATTGTCTCTTCTCACTAAAGTTGAGATGCACTTTGGATAGTGAGGAATGTGAATAAACATCATTATCGCTAAAATGGGAGCTCCAGTGCTGGCATATTCACAACAAGACGAGTTTGTATTTGATACTGACACAAATGATAATGGAACCATGGCAGTGTTATCACAGTTGCAGGATAAAGTATAATGTGTAATCTCCTATGTTAGTTATACACTCATGGCTCCTGGATGCAGGTACTGTATCATAAAGAAAGAACTGCTTGCAGTTGTAGTTTTTATAAAACACTGTCGACGATACTTTCATGATTAGGAGGTTTACTGTTTGCATGGACCATGCTTTACTGAAATGGTTAATGAACTTTGAAAATACAAAAAGAATGGTAGCATGTTAAAAAACAAAGTTGAAAAAATATGACATTGTCAAAGTGAAGCCTCCAGGCCTGCAATGCATAAACAGATTTACTCACCATGCTGTCCATATGTGAAATGTTATGATCCTGGGCACCATGTTGGAGCTAAAACCATTCCTGCTATAGCAAAATTAAGCCACGCACAAGGAGATTCCACTAGTGCATGGATGCCACAATTAATACTACAGTTCTAGTTCAAACATGAGCAATACTTGTTGAGCAGCAAGATAAATTTCATCTAGCATAAGTAGAGGAGTATATCATGGTCACATGTAACCTTTGTCACTTATGTTCAGTTACTGGTGCAGCTAGTAGTCCCCAGAGCTCTGAGGCAAAATATTCTCCAGACTTGGTTTGCATTTCACGCAAAGCTACACGAGGGCCATCTGCATTAGCCATACCTAATTTAGAAGTGAAAGACTAGAGGGAAGGCAACTAATTATCACCGCCAACTCTTGGGCTACTCTTTTACGAACGAATAGTGGGATTAACTGTCACATTATAATACCCTCATGGGTAAAATGGCGATCATGTTTAGTGGGGCAGAGATTCGAACTCGCGACCCTCAGATTGTGAGTCAAGTACCCTAACCACCTAGCCTTCTTCAGACTTTGCATATCACAAAGACTAGAGGACACCAAGGTGTTACCTGCACTTATGCTATGATTTGATAATGGTTCTACTGAACATATTAATCGAGGTATTTGGCACTAGTGTGAACATTGTATGGTATGTGCCACTCAGAAAAAGAACTAGCCAAGACAAGGTTGACACCAGGAGAGAACTGTAAGATCTTCTCTATAAAGGTACGTACTGATATAACTAGTCCACTTTCAGAGACTGAATGAGGTCACTGAACATACTTGTTGCACTCCATTGATCAAAGCTATGCACAGTCTCTTGCAGATGTATTCGTGGAGCACTGGATGGCATGTTCTGGAGCACCAGAAGAGATCCACATAGATTAAGGAGCTAAAATTATCAACTAATTATTACTTGAGTTCTGTAAAGGGTTAGGTGTAGTAAAGACACATAGTTTACCTTACCACCAGCCTAAACTTAGCAAAATGGGTAATACAAGCTACCAAGTGCATGCTCGTTAATCCTGAACCGACTGGGATGAATACTTATCTATGTCATGATGGTGCTCCACATAGCAACTGAAGAGATGTTTCATGTTGTTTGGACAGGAAATCCTTCTCCCTTTTAACATGATGTATGGACCTCCTATAGAGCAAACATCCCACAGTATCCACATGAAGATGTGGAGTGGCTAAGGTCTGCATTTGATGATGTGCATGTGACACTCAAATGTATCAAACTATTTTACTGCTAAACTGTCAATATCAATATATTTGATCAAATATTTATTTAATATATCAACTCAAAACTTGAATTACTTAAATGTTTTTACATATTAATAACATAAGAGTTTGTTTTAGGAAAACAGTAGTTCTTAAAACTCTAGAGTCAAGTTATTTTACTATAATAAAGTCAATAATATCAGTCAACTAATACTCAATGAAAAAGAAACAACTTTACAAACAACATTTAATAAAATCCCCAAATTTATTGCATCCTTTTTTCTTTTTTTAACAGTAATGATATTTGTACCAATCTTAAAAGTACTTTGTCTGCATTCTTATGCTGACAAAATCACATTTTGTAAAAAGTGCAAGAATAAAATGTCATGTTAAATCCTGAACTAGAGAAACTAGATTTCACTATTTAAGACTATGCTAGTTTACTCACTGAAGCAGTTCTAATTATGCTAAAATGGTTTCACCATGTAAAATGACAAATACTAAATTACATGCATTAGGAAGATATACAACAAAGAATTAACATAGAAGTAAAGCACATTTAACACTTTAAACCTTATAAAAATTTGCTCAACTACTTAATACACCCATTACATCATTATGTGTACATTCTTTAAATGTGAAAGTCAAATTATCATTTTAATATCTTAGCACAATATAACTTTGTAGTTTAGCACAATGCTGTACAAGGGAATATGTGATCTATGCCCATCACAGGAATTGAACCCCATTTTTAACATTACAAGTGCATAACTTACTGCTCAGCCTCCAGGAGGGGGGGCCCCCCCATGGTTAAAAAGCAGTAAACTTGTGTATTTGAACAAGCAAACCAAGTGATAATGAATATAAGTAGCAGAATAATTTATTTTTTGAAGAATTTTAAAATACTTTTTTGAATTTTACTCAATGGTTAGATATTATTTATTTCATAAAGCCGTTAAAGAGATTCAACAGTCATGTACAAAAAAATATTGAAAAGCTAGTACAGATATTCATGATTCACCCTATAAGTACTCAAAGCTACTGTACACATAACAAAAAAAATACACGTGTATGTGTCAAGCCTAAACATTCCTGACAACCGCCGACGCACGTTTCGCCCAATATCAGGGCTCATCAGGGCGGCTAGTCAGATAAAAATTGACTTCTGCTTTAGATACAGTGGATTTTAGTACTATACAGACTGTTTATATTGCGTAAATTAAGTCACACTGTTAAAAGTCTTTTTACAAACACAAAAAAACATCACCATGAAATCCATAATTGTTCAGGGCAAACACCAAAATAGAGAAGGGGGTGGGATATATTTATAAAGCAAGTATTAATTTTAAAATATTTGGACATTAAAAATTAAGATTGATGAAAAATTATGAATAATTGTTGACAGACCAGTGATTGAATAACTATGTAAAGTAGACAATAACAAGTTTTCAAAAACAGAGTATTCCTTTGACTCTAAAGTTAGTAAATTGAGCATATTTCTTTAAACACTACTGAAAATATTCATCAGTTTATAATGTGTAAGACAAAAATTATACATGGTAATAAAAATCTCACTTGTACTATCAATCGCGCATAAACTTCTGTTAAAAGTTTTAGAGCATTTTACTAGTATATAACAATAAGAGAGGTTATTGATACATGTCCCACACTATTAGTTTGTGTATCAAAATTCCAAAAGATAAAATTTTAGATAAGCCAAACAGAAAAATAATATAAATAAATTTCAAATTAAAAACTACATAATCGAAGTTGCTTGGCAGAAAAATTAACTAATTACTTAACTAATGATGGGATTTTGAAAAAGAAAAAACGAAAATGAAGTACAATGTTATGTTTTTACTGTCAGTAACAACACAGATGCAAGTTATATTACAAAATCATGCATAATTTGTGTACACCAAGGGTAAAAAAAAAAGTAAAACTGCTTCAAATACTCTGCAAGACAAATATAAGACAAAAATAGCATATGCTTATATCAAATCATAAAACATAAGTACACTAATTAAAACAAATACTCAAAAGAATATCTTTAAGGAATATGGCAAATTGATTTTTGTGATAATCTCAAGTTAGGAATCACTAGGGCTCAAAATTATTACATAAAAATATTCTCTTTCTAAATGAAAATTATAATCAATCGTCCCTGAATGTATTTATTTTTTAAAGTAAGAAAATAATAAAAACTTTACAATAGATTATTTTGATAGAAGTTCCCCAAACCACATTAATATAAATTTAATATAGAGAGTTAAAAGGCATAACAAACAAGCTGATAATACAGTAATAAAATAATAATTAAAAAAAAGTAACAAAAATAACACATGTTAAACTTAATAGAGCTCCAAAATCCATTTTTCATCAAACTTCAGAAGCAGGTGGTTTTTTATCTACCTCTGCCTCATCATTCAGAATGTTTAAATCAGCAGCAGTGAGATCCCCTCCATGAGCATTCCCAGCATGAGCTAAAAATAAATCTTTAAGAAAACTCAACTCTTTTGACAGAATTTTAATTTTCACTTCCAGCATCTCATTTTCTGCTTTCAGTTTCTGTACTCGTTCAAGAGTCTGCTGAGTATGAAGTTTACTCTTGGTACGAGACTTCTTCACTGCTAGATTATTTCGCTCCCTGCGGCGGCGATACTCATCACTGTCCTTGTTCATTTGGGAGTTTTTGGATTTTCTTACTTTTTTCTGCAGCCTATCATCTGTTGGGTTCATTTCTACATTACTAGAGTCCATACTTGAATTACCTTCATCGGTCATCAAAATACTTTTGGTTGGGGTCATGTCAAGTTATTATTTCACCACCTTCAGCTTATAATCACCTAAAATATATAAAAGGAAAATTTAACCCGATAACATACATTTTTAGTTACAGACATCAGCTATCAAATAATGATGACATTTAAATATATAAACTTTCTCTTAAACTATACAGATTTCTGATAGCATCTTTCACATCATTGCTACATAATCAGCTTTGAATGTTGTTTTTCCATTTGGTAAAAAAAACAAATAAAACTGTATTTGCACAAATTCTAAACCATAACTGCGTTTATTCTTTTTAATACACAGATTATCTGTAATTATAAATTTACCACAAAAGAAATTATCTTCTGTTTAATTCATGCCAGTATTGTAACTGAAATGCCTTAAATTTTATTTAATCCTAAACCCTGAAGCTTTGATAAAATACAATTAAATTAAATCAATAATAAAAATCCAAGTTTTAAGAAATTTTTGACCTACAGCTAAAAATGGAAAAATTATGTTTGAAACAGGTCAGGCCAAGACTGTAATCTAGTTTTCCACTAGTGTAATTTAATTACATACTGTATTAACAAGAACAGCATGTCAAGATGGTGTAATATTGCCCTTTCTGACCAAAAGAAAATCTCACTGCTTTAGATTTGTTTAAATGATATCAAAGTTTTCCTAAATTAACTTAGCTGTTTGATCATACTTGATAACTAGAAGGTTAAAACATGCACATAATATAAAGTAGAGCATATTACAACTGAAACTTGTTACTCATTTACCCTGCACATGACAAAGGATGCAAGTAACTGGAATTAACTTTATATATATATATAAAAAAAAAAGATGTTTTATATAGCATTACTAATTTCACTATTTTGAGATTAATTAAGACATTCTGCTGTTCTTAGTACACAATATACTATGATAATACAGTTTTAAGTTGTTCAATGAAATGAAGGTTGATATTTTTGATGAAATCTACTATTTCTTAAGAATATTACAATCAATAGTGTAGTACTATTGGAGTGCTCTGACACTTTGAAAACAAAAATTATGTATCAAGTTATTTAATTTAAAGAAGAAGTCAGGGAATGAGTTCAAAAAAATCCCTGGATCTCTGAAGCACAACCTGCTCACCACAATCAACTAATCAGTAATCTCCAAGCTATTCAAAATGAAGGTTTTTTGTAAACACACACACACATACATATAGTGCCAGAGAGTACTTCGACTGTTTGTAAACTCCTGCATCTTCTGGCTCAGCATACTCTCCAAGAATTAAAATGGTGGGTGAAGTAGCATTTTTTGCTGTTTACAGTTACCAAGACACACATGTAGTGTATTAAAAAAGACTAAATAAAATTACTTTTACAATAACCTCTTTACTGTGCTCCATGCAATTCTTAAAATGATTATTATTGAACAAAAAAGGAATTTTTGGGGTTTTTGTGTTGGCAGGTGTGCAAAGTATTTGGTTACATCAAAGCTGTTAGTAGGTAGTCAGAAATATAGTACAGGTTAAAAAAAAAAAGCAACTGAATTTTAACACCAACTCCCAAAAATACATTTACTTCCTATAAACTTTTATTGTAACTCAAATAAAATGCATGACACAAGGTGGTGTAACGGGGCATCAGTGGACTACAACACTCCTACTGTACATTTTGTGTGTGTGTGTGTGTGTGTGTGTGTGTGTGATTATTTGATGTCTTTATAAACATACATTCTAGTTGAACTAAAAGTAATTAGATACAGTTTAAACTGCAAGATGTGTCATTAAGTCTGTGACAGATGCCATTCTCCTCTAAAGATACATTGCCATGTGGCTTAACGGGTTTTTATTGGTCAAAAAATATAGAGAAAATTTGAGAAAAATCAGGCATGTTAAATAGATGTTACATTTTTCAAAGAAAATTAATGCCTTGACAATATCTCAAGCAAACAACTAGTGTTTCTGTGTTCTCTAAGTAATGTATGTTATTCATTTATTGTTACTTTCATTAACAATATTGGTTTACTGTTAGTTTAGCATATATATATAGGGCTAACCTAGATCTCTTAATCTGATCAATCCTCATGAGATATCAACAGGATTACAGCTGAAAATATTTTTAACAGCGAGGGTATCCAAATGACAAAATAATGCATTCTAATTTTTACAAGAAAAAATGTAAAGAAAAAAACAAACTTATATTCAATTTACTACACTGATTATCAGGTCAATTTTTAGTTTTGCTCTAAGTACTTCACTTGTTGTGACTAAAGTTGATGTTAATTAAAATGAGTATGCGTAAGTGTAAAATTAACTTAAATTGCAGACACAGTATATTATAATATAAAAATCACTATATGCTTAGAAAGATGATTTAACTTCAAATAAAAATTTAGGCAAATCATATATCTTTAATGTGGAGAATTAGAGTTGGGCAGTTACTGGTATTTGATTAGAAATTAATCAATGGCCCCATTAATCAGTTACATTTCATTAATAGTAAACTGGTGTTCCTCAAACCATGGTATGTTGCCTTCCCTCTAGCCAGTAGTTCAATATTAGTAAGTGTGAAGGAAACACTAATCTTGATTAGTTTATTATTTTCATGACAATTAAAATAATTGAAATTTTAATGAATTAATTGTTGGAATAATTTAGATTAATCAAATACTTTACACGACACTAATCAATTTAATCACTGCTCTTGGGCAATTGATTATATCAATTACTTTAGGCAAATTATACATCTATAATTGTAATACAGTTGAATTAAATCAATAATAAAAATAACTATGAGATTTATGAAATTTCTGACCTATAGCTAAAAATTGAAAAAAATTATGGTTTGAAACAGGTCAGGCAAAGACTGTAATCTAGTTTTCTTCTAGTGTAATTTAATTAAATACTGTCAGTTAGGTGTAATATTGCAATTTTTGCCCAAAAGAAAATTTTAACAACTCCTCTCCTTTGAAGGGGCCAGTGGAGCTTTTTTAAGGACCACTATACACTTTCCTCTTTGTTGGTCAAGCTTGATTTCGCAAAATTGATTTGTTTCAGTTAGCTATAAAATATGAGATTAGGGTATACTATGGGCTGGGTTGGTACTACTTGCCCTGTCATTTCTGACGGGCTATATGCTAGTATAAATTAATCATTTGAAAAAATAACATTTTGAGATACGTTTTGTAAATTATTTAAAATAGAAAACTATTACATTTGGATTATATTTGCAAGGATATTTAAACTTTCAAAAACTATACTATTTACAGTTGTGCGAACATTAGCTATTTACATGTTACCTTATAAAAATTCCAAGATTCTGTTCTTAATCTATATACCTATAGTAACTAAATTTATCCGTTAAATTATAGTTAATATCGAGTACACATATATAATACACACAACGTTTTAGTCAACAAGTACCATTCTTGTACCTAAACCACTATAAATATATCTTTACAGAAAGTATAAAATTTAAATATAATCAGTAAAACTGGATCAAGTATTTAATTAAAGTAATTTACACTTATCCATCAAATATCCGCCATAACTTACTATTAGTATTACTAAACTTCGCCATTTACGTTTGGATGTTGATCACGTCACGAACCTACCGCATCAGAAACTTAAAAATTATTTTTGGTAATATTTCAACAATGCTTGGGCTCGTAAGTTCTGTGACCTCAGTTACCTGTGATTAAGCTAGAAAATTGGTCCTTAAACCACACAAGGTGTTCTACCATCAAACAAAGCTTCCCCTTGTCGTTTACCTCACCCTCAACAACCAGCCATTTTTCTTACGCCACACGATTTGGGTTCGCAAAGATTGCATCAGAAGTTGCCATTTTTATCCAATCAAAAAAGGTCACGTGAGCAAACAACTCTTAACTGCGACTATGAGCTAAGTGTAATATTTTAAAGCTGTATTACCGCTTATTAGCATAAAATGAAAAGGCTCTTTTACACTGGACATCTTTTATGTGGCACTCTCTTATATATACCCATATCATTCATATAAATCCACGTCAAATAACATGATATGGGTTTGTATCTCTTGTTATTGTTCATACGTAGTTTGGGAAAAACTTTAAAAAAGAAAAAACAGATTAAATTGTTATTATTCATGTTTATTTTGACTTTATTTGTTTATATATTTTTATTCTTATTATTTTTAGAAGCTGTTGTCAGATAGACAAGCTGTTAAAAATTACATTTTATTACAAAATACATTTGTTCCCGCACAGCCATACAAGGAGTATCCGCAATATCCTTTCCTAATTCTTAACTGATAAGACAGCTAGACTGTCACTCGTAAGAATAAAGCACCCATGGCCTCAAAATGTTAAGCATGATTTTGCGAGAATGAGACGCGAACCACGGATCCTCGGGTTTGCAGTACGGCACGCTTACCACTAGGAAACAGTAAAACTAAGGGGGAGTTATATATACAACTCTTGTTTAATTTACTGGGGTGAGGAGGACGGGGTGTATTTGTTAACTCGCAGCATTGTGTGAACTTGGGGGTACATGGTTCGTGCACTGTTAGTGCAATTCGATTAGAATAGCCTAAGAGTTGAATGCTATTGATAAACTGCCTTCCCTCTAGTGTATCAGCTCAAAATTATTCTGGTCTATCAGTTCGAAATTCGTCACGGCTAGCACACTTCGCCTCTGTGAATCTTTGCACGAATTTCCAAAACAAACAATTTTCTGTTATATAATAAGTTAATGCTTATTGTTACGTCTCCGTTTGTTAATTGATTTTTCCGTAACTTCGATCCGACAAAACTTTAACGACACAAGTC